CACACACACACACACACACACACACACACACACACACACACACACACACACACACACACAACACACACACACACACACACACACACACACTACACAGACAGACAGACAGACAGACAGACAGACAGACAGACAGACCGACAGACAGACAGACAGACAGACAGACAGACAGACAGACAGACAGACAGACAGACAGACAGACAGGGACAGACAGACAGACAGACACACACACAGATACACACAGATACACACAGACAGACAGACTCACCACTGCTGCCGACAGTGCTGAAGGCAGCTCCTGCTCACTGATGCACCCAGACCTGTCCCGGTCGAACTTGACAAAGATCCCCTACACACACACAGACACACAGACACACACACACACACACAAAGACACAAACATTAAAAAAACCTCATGTGGTTTTGTTATCATATATAAATGTAAATCTGAACGTGTATGAAGTTAAGGCAGTTGTGTTGACAGCAGAGTGACCCACCTGCCATTTCTTTATATTGTTCCAGAGATACTTGAACTCATGGAAGCCCAGTTTTACCTGTGCTGTCACTCTGTGCGGGAGTCAAGGACATGACACAGAGAGAAGGACTGAGAGACACATGAGACACAGGTAGAGAGAGAGACACAGAGAGAGAGAGAGACACAGAGCGAGAGAGAGACACAGAGACACAGAGAGAGAGAGACACAGAGAGAGAGAGAGACACAGAGAGAGAGAGAGACACAGAGAGAGAGAGACACAGAGAGAGAGAGACACAGAGAGAGAGAGAGACACAGAGAGAGAGAGATACAGTGAGAGAAGAGACAGACACAGAGAGACAGAGACACACAGAGAGACTGAGACACAGAGACACAGAGAGAGACTGAGACACAGAGAGACAGAGACACAGAGAGAGAAGAGACAGAGACACAATGACACAGAGAGACAGACAGAGACACAGAGAGACACAGAGAGAGAAAGACTGAGAGACACAGAGACACAAAGACACACAGAGAGAGACTGAGAGACACAGAGAGAAAGAGACAGAGACACAGAGAGACTGAGAGACACAGAGAGAGGACAGAGACACAGAGAGAGAAAGACAGAGACACAGAGACACACAGAGAGACAGAGAGAAAGACTGAGAGACACAGAGACACAAAGACACACAGAGAGAGACTGAGAGACACAGAGAGAGCGAGACAGAGACACAGAGAGACTGAGAGACACAGAGAGAGAGACAGAGACACAGAGAGAGAAAGACAGAGACACAGAGACACAAAGACACACAGAGAGAGACTGAGAGACACAGAGAGAAAGAGACAGAGACACAGAGAGACTGAGAGACACAGAGAGAGAGAGACAGAGACACAGAGAGAGAAAGTCAGAGACACAGAGACACACAGAGAGACAGAGAGAAAGACTGAGAGACACAGAGACACAAAGACACACAGAGAGAGACTGAGAGACACAGAGAGAAAGAGACAGAGACACAGAGAGACTGAGAGACACAGAGAGAGAGAGACAGAGACACAGAGAGAGAAAGACAGAGACACAGAGACACACAGAGAGACAGAGAGAAAGACTGAGAGACACAGAGAACACAAAGACACACAGAGAGAGACTGAGAGACACAGAGAGAGCGAGACAGAGACACAGAGAGACTGAGAGACACGAGAGAGAGACAGAGACACAGAGACACACAGAGACAGAGAGAAAGACTGAGAGACACAGAGACACAAAGACACACAGAGAGAGACTGAGAGACACAGAGAGAAAGAGACAGAGACACAGAGAGACTGAGAGACACAGAGAGAGAGAGACAGAGACACAGAGAGAGAAAGACAGAGACACAGAGACACACAGAGAGACAGAAGAAAGACTGAGAGACACAGAGACACAAAGACACAGAGAGAGACTGAGAGACACAGAGAGAGCGAGACAGAGACACAGAGAGACTGAGAGACACAGAGAGAGAGAGACAGAGACAGAGACACAGAGAGACTGAGAGACACAGAGAGAGAGAGACAGAGACACAGAGAGAGAAAGACAGAGACACAGAGACACACAGAGAGACAGAGAGAAAGACTGAGAGACACAGAGACACAAAGACACACAGAGAGAGACTGAGAGACACAGAGAGAGCGAGACAGAGACACAGAGGGGCACGGTGGCTGAGTGGATAGCACTCTCGCCTCTCAGCAAGAAGGTCCTGGGTTCGAATCCCGGTCGGACCAGGGCCTTTCTGAGTGGAGTTTGCATGTTCTCCCCGTGTCTGCGTAGGTTTCCTCCGGGTACTCCGGTTTCCCCTACCACTAAAAATATGTACAATAGGTCTGGCATGTGCCTCCTGTACTGGCACCCCCAACCCCATCTCTGTGTGGAGTGAGAGACAAATGCCCAAAATTAACAATTGTAAACCGCTTTGAGACTCAGATCTGCAGTGAAAAGGCGGTATATAAATAAAAACTTACTTACTTACAGAGAGACTGAGAGACACAGAGAGAGAGAGACAGAGACACAGAGAGAGAAAGACAGAGACACAGAGACACACAGAGAGAGACTGAGAGACACAGAGAGAGCGAGACAGAGACACAGAGAGACTGAGAGACACAGAGAGAGAGACAGAGACAGAGACACAGAGAGACTGAGAGACACAGAGAGAGAGAGACAGAGACACAGAGAGAGAAAGACAGAGACACAGAGACACACAGAGAGACAGAGAGAAAGACTGAGAGACACAGAGACACAAAGACACCACACAGAGAGAGACTGAGAGACACAGAGAGAGCGAGACAGAGACACAGAGAGACTGAGAGACACAGAGAGAGACAGAGACACAGAGAGAGAAAGACAGAGACACAAAGACACACAGAGAGAGACTGAGAGACACAGAGAGAAAGAGACAGAGACACAGAGAGACTGAGAGACACAGAGAGAGAGAGACAGAGACACAGAGAGAGAAAGACAGAGACACAGAGACACACAGAGAGACAGAGAGAAAGACTGAGAGACACAGAGACACAAAGACACACAGAGAGAGACTGAGAGACACAGAGAGAGCGAGACAGAGACACAGAGAGACTGAGAGACACAGAGAGAGAGACAGAGACACAGAGAGAGAAAGACAGAGACACAGAGACACACAGAGAGACAGAGAGGAAAGACTGAGAGACACAGAGACACAAAGACACACAGAGAGAGACTGAGAGACACAGAGAGAAAGAGACCGAGACACAGAGAGACTGAGAGACACAGAGAGAGAGAGACAGAGACACAGAGAGAGAAAGGACAGAGACACAGAGACACACAGAGAGACAGAGAGAAAGACAGAGAGACAGAGACACAGAGACACAAAGACACACAGAGAGAGACTGAGAGACACATGAGAGAGCGAGACAGAGACAGAGACACAGAGAGACTGAGAGACACAGAGAGACTGAGAGAGACACAGAGACAGAGACACAGAGAGAGACAGAGAGACCACACAGAGAGAGAGAGACAGAGACACAGAGAGAGAAAGGACAGAGACACAGAGACACACAGAGAGACAGAGAGAAAGACTGAGAGACACAGAGACACAAAGACACACAGAGAGAGACTGAGAGACACAGAGAGAGCGAGACAGAGACACAGAGAGACTGAGAGACACAGAGAGAGACAGAGACACAGAGAGAGAAAGACAGAGACACACAGAGAGACAGAGAGAAAGACTGAGAGACACAGAGACACAAAAGACACACAGAGAGAGACTGAGAGACACAGAGAGAAAGAGACAGAGACACAGAGAGACTGAGAGACACAGAGAGAGAGAGACAGAGACACAGAGAGAGAAAGACAGAGACACAGAGACACACAGAGAGACAGAGAGAAAGACTGAGAGACACAGAGACACAAGACACACAGAGCGAGACTGAGAGACACAGATAGAGCGAGACAGAGACACAGAGAGACTGAGAGACACAGAGAGAGAGAGACAGAGACACAGAGAGAGAAAGACAGAGACACAGAGACACACAGAGAGACAGAGAGAAAGACTGAGAGACACAGAGACACAAAGACACACAGAGAGAGACTGAGAGACACAGATAGAGCGAGACAGAGACACAGAGAGACTGAGAGACACAGAGAGAGAGACAGAGACACAGAGAGAGAAAGACAGAGACACAGAGACACACAGAGAGACAGAGAGAAAGACTGAGAGACACAGAGACACAAAGACACACAGAGAGAGACTGAGAGACACAGAGAGAAAGAGACAGAGACACAGAGAGACTGAGAGACACAGAGAGAGAGAGACAGAGACACAGAGAGAGAAAGACAGAGACACAGAGACACACAGAGAGACAGAGAGAAAGACTGAGAGACACAGAGACACAAAGACACACAGAGAGAGACTGAGAGACACAGATAGAGCGAGACAGAGACACAGAGAGAAAGACTGAGAGACACAGACACACAGAGAGACTGAGAGACACAGAGAAAGAGAGACAGAGACACAGAGAGAGAGACAGAGACACAGAGACACAAAGACACAGAGAGACACAGAGAGAGACAGAGAAAGAGAGACAGAGAGACACAGAGAGAGAGAGAGACAGAGACACAGAGACACAAAGACACAGAGAGAGAGAGACAGAGAGGGTTTTGTGTGAAGGATACGTCCATGACAGCCACCATGCTGCGACACGTCTCGATACTGAAGCCGCCCTCGCCGATCGCCACTCCACCTGCAACACCACAACACACGCTCAGCCTTAAACTCAGCCGTAAACCAGACCAACTGAGCTACATTTCATGCTGTGTTTGTGCTTCTGCAATGTTGATGATTGTCCAATGAGATCCATTTCTGGAACTATTACTAAACCTTCAGTCTACAATTTGTTACTGGAACATTTTTGCGGACAAAACTTATATGCCATTCAACAGGACGCCACTAACATGAAGAACAACGGCAGTGAACTCTGCATATAACCTTATAACACACAAATAATAACACATTCAGTGTCGGAGCTCTCAGTATAGCCTACAGTTTTCAGGCAGGAGAACAGCGCCATCTGCAGTCCGAGCACCTCAGGACAGTCTCCCAAATGTGTGAGGTCAACAAACACCAGGCACTAAACAGGGACGAGGGGGCCTTCCTACTCTCGCATCAAGTCATGTGACCACGTGCTGAGGTCCTCACGCCAGCGTCAGAACAGTCAGGAACAAAATCCTCTGAGCAAGAAGAACTGCTGTAGATTCCGACGTTTATAAAGGATTGAGAAGTTTTACTTGAGCCATGTACAGAACCAGAGTAGTTGTACTTATCCTCTACTTTACTTGTGTGTGTTTTTATGTCCCCCTGCTCAGTCCCACACTCACTCTTTCTGCAGACGTCGTCCAGGATGTTCTTCAGCTCCATGGGGCAGATCTCCATGTCCTGTCACAACAACAAACAACAATACTTTCAGACGTCAGATTAACACTAAAAACTGCATTACCTCACTTTATTTTTCAATTCATTACAAAAATCCAACCCATGTCCATGCAGTGCGATTGGGATCAGTGTGGGCGGGTCCCGGCTCAAAAGTGGCCAAAATGACGTGCGCTGACATGCTGCACTTACCACCCCGGGCCTGTGGGGGTGGACCCAGAAGTAGAATTAGCCAATGCTAACATATAGCGTTGGCAGACCTCTGGAAAACGTCTTTACAGGATGGTCCAAAAGTTGTCTCTTGGCCCAAAGCTCCGTCCCACATGTGTGTCAATGCTGAGGGGGGTGTTCTGGTCCACTCTAGTTTAGTCGCTGTGAATTTGTGAAGTCTCTCGTTCAACATGAATGGAGCTGCGCCGGCTGACGCATGCGCAGATGCGTTTTTTCACAATTTTCTTGTGGGCGGGACCACTCGCGGCCATTTTGGATTCCTCCAGTAGAGCAAATATTTTGGCCATTAGTTAGAACGGGCGGAGATAGACGTGACTCTGTCCATTAATATATACAGTCTATGATTGGGATATACGTTCTTTGAAGAATAAGTTTCGCAGATGGGTTGGTGCTGGCGTGTCATTTTATTTTAGATCGAGTTTTCGTGCAACAAGGAAGAGAATGTGTTTTGGGTCCAGATTGTGACCAATCACAGCGGACCACTGGCCCCCGCTTTCTTGAGAAAAGCCACAGGTCTGTGGTTAGCACAGACAGCTGAGGTAAACAAGCGGCGGAGGCTAACCTGAAACTTCTGTGTCTTTGTTATTTCTATTTCAGCGAAACAGCCAAAAGAAAGTCTTGTTCCTCTGCGCTTCCCGGTTCTTTCATTCTATGGTCACGCCACGTTCAAATGTGCGATCCATATTGAGAAACGTGAGCTCCGTACACACATAAGCACAGGCTGAGTGGGGGGGTTGGTGTAGTGGGGGTGTGGTGGGGGGTGGTGTAGTGGGGGGTGAGTGGGGGGCGATAGCTTCGTGAGTGCGGGGAGGGCGAGCAGAAAGAGCGAGGCCAGCGCTCACATTCGAAACTTTCACAAAGTGAGTTATTCATTTACACTTTAGTGTTGCTGCACTAAGTTATCCTAAAGTTCAGTCAGTTTGTCAGATTCTCTTCACTTGTGACTGTTGTTGCCACGGAGACTCGTTTGTTACGTGCTCCTCGTCCATCCACAGAATTAGCACACACCAGAAGAGCTCAGCCCAAGAAAAGGTCACACCGATAACAGATCTATTGAGGCAGAAGGACAGAAGACTGCAGTGTCTTGTTTATCTATTTATTTATTATGAAATCAAAGGTCCGTGGTGGACTTCTCTCAGAGGCCGTGGCATTCCTAAATATGATTTATTGTGGAAGTTACTCATTTAAGTTTCACGCTGATGAGGAGAGACTCGGGACAGGCCTGACAGTCAGATAACTCCTCCCTCCTGGATCTCCACGGGGCGTTGGTCTGGCGTCGTCAGGCTCCACTGGATCAGATTGGATTGTAGTATATTTTTACCGATAACCATATTCACATGTTACGTGATGCGATGCGGACGAGGGAGGGTCCCCTGGAGACTCATAATGAAGCCCTTACTTTAAAACCACTGACATACCGTATTCTCAGTCACCATTACGTCTCGATTCATCTCAAATCAACATACGCAATAACAAACATGTTTGAAAATTCGTTTGCAATAGCAAAGAGGAAATGTAGTTTGCCCCTGCTACGAAGCTTTAGAATTTATTCTCCTCATATCCTGTTATTGTGGACACTGTAATCCATTTTTATCTATGTATCTATCCCAGATTTTAACCCTAACTGCATGTTTACACTATAAAATGTCATGAAAAATAGGTCAAGAATTGGCTAGAATATTGGCAAAAAGATATCTTAACTAGAGCCATTTTTGACAAACAGAATAATCTTTTGTTAAAAAGGCCCCAAATGTCTCTCTAGGAATGAGAACATAAACTAAATGTCGTTGTCCCATGGAGATCGTGTTTTCAGACATAGAATTTACTCAGATTAAGATGAAAACTCGATTCAAGCTTTATGTTCGTCACGTTTATAATATTGTTGCTGTCTTCATCGATACATTTGTGACATACTAATAGTTCGGAGCCGTACTGACTGAATGAGGATAACAGACGCTGCACACCTTCATACAAACAGTGCCATCTATATTGTAAAGTGTGTGGCAGCCGCGCTCTACCACGATACTACAGCCGTAACATGGTGCAGGGTGACGGCAGACGGAGCGTGGGGGCGTGTGCGGTGAGTGCCTCTGTGGTGCGTGGACCGGCCCCAAGACGGGACGGGCCGGGCCCACAGCTCCTGCCCTGTGAGTCACGCTGCCCCGCCTGACAATGCCGGAAGGTGAGCTGCAACCCCCACCTCAGGCCGCTCCGGCTGCGGCGCTCCGGAGACGAACGCCGGAGGAGGGTCGAGTCGCCCGGGATAGATTTGGTGGAATCATTGGATTGAAACTGATAGAGTTTTTCTTTGTCTCTCTGTAAAGGTCTTGGTTTCCATGGGTTTCAGCCCAGACCAGAGCCGAGCGGATGGTCCAAACCAATCAGATCGAGCCGGATCCACTGAGGCGGGTTGACTGTTTTTGGTGTTGTTGTGAAATTGGCGTATTAAGTATTAGAATATCCTCTGAACCAGAGCAGAGGAAATGGTCCCAAACAAGCCGAACTCTGCTAACATCAACCAGAGGAAGCAGGAGGCAGCCGTTCGTCACCAGCGGCGGCAACACCGCGGCTCTGACCCGTCATTACTCTTGTTAATAATCTTTAGCATGTAAGTGTTGACGTTGTATTTGGTTGTTTGGACGGTTCTGCGCGGGACCTCGGCAGTTTCCAAGCCGCAGATACGGGCGACTATTACAAAGGGATAAGATTGATATTGTATTGGTATTGTATTGAGTGTTGGATTTCTCCGACAGGGAGTATAAATAAATAACTAATCTCTATCGATATTAGGCGATGATCTCACGTCTATTAAACTACCAATTAACGACAAGGCCTTTAGAATAAGTTCATTATTTCTGGCCCTCTGAATGAGACAAAGACCACTATAGCTTAGCGCAAAAGATACCAACCCGTCTTCTCTCTACACTCATAACCACCTGAGCTCAGAGGACAACCACATCCAGACCGTCAGAAGGAAGTAATCGTTATTTGTTATAGCGCCTTTCAAGACCAGAGCCACATAAGCGCTTTACTTGCGTGGTGGGGCAGTTGTGCTCTCACTCCACACAGAGATGGAGCGGGGCCAGTTCAGGAGGCACAGGCCAGATGACAGGTGGAGGTGTAGGGGAAACCGGACACTCGGGGGAAACCTACGCAGACACCGGGGAGAACATGCAAACTCCACTCAGAAAGACCCTGTTCGAGAGTATCTAACCACACAGACACCGTGCAGGGCCCGTTGTGTCTGAATTATGGTGGATGATAAAGCGTTTGTCCGACGGATCGATGTCCGGTAGGACCGCAGGAGCCAGCTTGGCTTAGATTAAGTCTGGTGTGTGTGGGAAGGTTTGGGGGTGGTGGGAGGGGCCGATGGCACCGACGGGTCACCTTACTTCTGGCAGTGTGCCCCAGGGCAGCTGAGGCTACAGCGATGGTTTATCACCTCCGGGGGTGGAGTGATGGACTAATGCTGTGGTGAATGTTTGTATATTTTAATATTTGCACCGCGCTGCTGTAGCTTCAGTAGCCTTCTGTAGCGTCTGTAGCTCAGTAGCTGCAGGAGCTTCTGTAGCTTCTGTAGCGTCTGTAGCTTCAGTACTTCCGTAGTTCAGTATATTCAGTAGCTTCAGGAGCTTCAGGAGCTTCAGTAGCGTCAGGTAGCTTCTGTAGCTGCTGTAGCTTCTGTAGCTTCTGTAGCTTCTGTAGCTTCTGTACTTCCGTAGCTTCTGTAGCTTCTGGTAGCGTCTGTAGCTTCAGTAGCTTCTGTAGCTTCAGTTAGCTTCAGTAGCTTCTGTAGCGCTTCTGTAGCTGCAGTACTTCCAGTAGCTTCAGTAGCTTCTGTACGCTTCTGTAGCTTCCGTGCGCTTTCAGAGCTCAGTAGCGTCCAGTGCTTCTGTAGCTTCATGGAGCTTCATAGCTCTGTAGCTCTGTAGCTTCTGTAGCTTCTGTAGCTCAGTAGCTTCATGGAGCTCAGTAGCTTCTGTAGCTGCAGTTGCTTCAGTAGCTGCAGTAGCTTCTGTAGCTTCGTAGCTTCTGTAGCTTCTGGAGCGTCGGTGAGTGTCTGTAGCTTCAGTAGCTTCAGTACTCGGACTTCAGTAGCTTCTGTAGCTCTGTAGCTTCAGTAGCTTCTGTAGCTGCAGTACTTCCAGTAGCTTCAGGATTCAGTTCTGTAGCTTCTGTAGCTTCTGTAGCTTCTGTGCTTCAGTAGCTTCAGTAGCTTCAGTAGCTTCATGTAGCTGTCTGGTAGCTTCTGTAGGCTTCTGTAGCGTCAGTAGCTTCAGTAGCTTCAGTAGCTTCTGCAGCTTCTGTAGCTGCAGTAGCTTCTGTAGCTTCAGTAGCTTCAGTATCTTCAGTGCTTCAGTAGCTTCTGTAGCTCAGTAGCTTCTGTAGCTTCAGTGCTTCAGTAGCTTCAGTAGCTTCTGTAGCTTCAGTAACGTCAGTAGCTTCTGTAGCTCTGTCGCTTCTGTAGCTCTGTAGCTTCAGTGCTTCTAGCATCAGTAGCTTCAGTAGCTTCAGTAGCTTCTGTACTTCTGTGAGCTTCTGTACGTCTGTAGCTCAGTAACTTCAGTAACTGTCAGGAGCTTCCGTAGCTTCGTAGCGTCTTAGCTCGGTAGCTTCTGTAGCTTGCTGGTAGCTTCTGTGCTTCGGTAGCGTCAGTAGCGTCTGTAGCTTCAGTGCTTCTGTAGCATTCTGTAGCGTCTGTAGCTTCATACTGCAGTAGCTTCAGTAGCTTCTGAGCTTCTGTAGCTTCTGTAGCTTCTGTAGCTTCTGTAGCTTCAGTAGCTTCAGTAGCTTCAGTAGCTTCTGTAGCTTGCTGTCGCTGCTGGTAGCTTCTGTAGCTTCTGTAGCTTCAGTATGCTTCATTAACTTCCGGTAGCTGCAGTAGCTTCTGTAGCTCTGTAGCTTCTGTAGCGTTGTCGCTTCTAGTAGCTTCAGTAGCTTCAGTAACTTACAGTAGCTTCAGATAGCTTTCTTTAGCTTTCTGTAGCATTCTGTAGCTACTGAAGCTACAGTAGGCTTCAGTAACTTCAGTAGCTTCAGTCGCTTCTGTAGCTTCAGTAGCTTCTGTAGCATCAGTAGCTTCCAGTAGCTTACTGAGTTCTGTAGCTTCTGTAGCTTCTGTAGCTTCTGTAGCTTCAGTAGCTAGTAACTTTCAGTAGCTTCCGTAGTTTGTAGCTTCTGTAGCTTCGTAGCTACAGAAGCTTCTGTCGCATCAGAGAAGAAGTACAAAAATCGCCCCCAAGACCTGCCCCGACCCTCCTCAACCAGCCTCGACCTATCCCCAGACCTCCCCCAGAGGACTCCATCACAGCGAGCTTTTCGAAGGTCCTCCTGACCTCTTCTCCTTTCATTCTCGAGGCTCTTCCGGTTCAGTGGTCTGCGGGGAGGGGGCTGGACCACACACCCACACCACAACCTTTGATTGAGAGTGCCTAGATGAGTGTTATGTGAGTAGGATAGTGTGTGCTAGTGAGTGGGCCTAGAGGGAGATTGTGAGAGGACAGTGAGTAGCTTGAGGTGGGACTCGTGTGTGCTTGTGAGTGGACTGTGTGTAGATTGTGAGTGGATAGTGTGTGATAGTGCGTGGCAGTGTGTGATTGTGCGATGACTAGTGTGTGTTGAGAGTGGCCTAGTGATGTGATTGTGAACTGGACTAGTGTGTGTTTGTGAGAAGGCCTAGTGTGTGTTTGGAGTGGCTGTGTGTGTTTGTGAGTGGATAGTGTGTGTAGGCTAGGACTAGGGTGTGATTGTGAGAGGACTAGTGTGTGATTGTGAGGGACTAGTGAGTTTGAAGTGAGTGGGGCCTAGTTTGAGATTGTGAGTGGACTAGTGGTGATTGTGAGTGGCAGTGTGTGATTGAGAGTGGATAGTGTGAGGATGTGGAGGACTCGAGGTGTGATTGTGGAGGCCTGAGAGTGCTTGTGGAGAGGACTAGGAGTGATTTTGCGTGGACTCGTGAGTGATTGTGAGATGACTAGTGTGAGCTTGTGCGAGGACTAGTGAGTGATTGTGAGTGGCCTAGTGTGTGTTTGTGAGTGGGATAGAGTGTGTTTGTGAGAGAACTCGTGTGTGTTTGTGAGTGGACTAGTGTGAGTATGTAGAGAGGCCAAGCACAACAGAGAGTTTGTGAGGGATCGTGTTTGAATGTGAGAGGATAGTGAGTGAAGAGAGTGGACTAGTGTGTGCAAGTGCGTGGACAAGTGTGTGAAAGAGGAGTGGACAAGTGTGTGAATGGAGTGGACTCGTGTTTGATCGAGAGTGGATCGAGTGTGCATGTGCGTGGTCGAGTGTGAAATGTGGCGAGGACTCGAGTAGTGTATGTGAGAGGCCATCGAGAGTGATAGTGGTGGCTAGATGTGTGAATGTGAGATGGACTCGTGTTTGATTTGTGAGTGGCCTCGGTGTGTTTGCGAGTGGCCTATGTGTGATTGAGAGTGGCCTAGATGTGTGCATGAGAGAGGCCTAGTGAGTGATTGTGCGTGGACTAGAGTGTGTTTGAAGTAGGACTAGTGTGTGAAATGTGCGAGGACTAGAGTGTGGCTTGAGAGTGGACTCGTGTGAGAATAGTGCGTGGGATAGGGTGTGTATGTGATTGGACTAGAGTGAGAAAGGGTCGGCCTCGTGAAGAGCTGAGGCTGGACTGTGTGTGCTTGGAGAGAGGACAAGTGTGTGTATGTGCGTGGGGACTCGTGTGTGCTTGTGAGTGGCCTATAGTGTGTAGCTTGTGAGTGGACTCGAGTAGAGTTTGTGGAGGGCCTAGTGTGAGATAGTGAGGTGGACTCGTGTGTGATTGTGAGTGGGACTGTGAGAGTTATGTGAGTGGACATAGTGTGAGTTAGTGAGAGGATAGTGTGTGATTGTGAGTG